TTTGGTATCGGAGCTGGTTTGATTCGCCACTTACCTTGGTGCGCTGGCGTTATACAGACTTGGTGCGTTGACGATGCTTCTTCGCAGTTGGTTCTTGTGACGTCAGGCCATGATTAGGCGCACAGCCTGGGTAGAGAGGTGTGCGCCGGAAGGCTAAGACGGCATTATGTCGTGGTGACAGGCGGAATGTATGATTGGTGACGAGAGCATGCTGATGTGGCATTCGGCTGAGGTGGCACTGCATTGCGTTGTGGGTGGTACCGAGGCCAAGACCGGTCATCAAATGCACACTCAGCTCAATTGGTGAGMRATYTRTGGTTRGGGGCAGCTATCTCCAGGTACGTTGTTCCCTTACCTTATCTACTCTCTCAATCTCTTCTTACCGTGAGGAAGTGAGTCCAACTTGAGAGTCCTCTCTTTTGGTGAGGTGTCGTGAGCGCGCTACCTTGAGAGACKACAATCTTCCCGGAAGCATCTGGAAGGAGAAAGGGCGGTGCCTCTGAAGGGCCCTGGTCGAAGCACTGGGTCACGGTCACCATGCCAACCCAATGGGAGTAGGTCACGCATGTGATGGCTGCTGTCCATTTTGGCACTTGCTGCGCTGAATAGAAGTCCTACCGGGTGTGCCAGCCTTTTATGAGACGCTTACCAGACCGTCTATAAGCATTTCTGGTTGGGGACTTGGTTGATTCTGGTTGTGATCGTCGTCCTGACTGCGACATTAAATAATTCATGAAGAGACTGGGGCGCTATTAATATTCCTCCTGATCAGCCAGATCAACCGGGTGTAAGGCTCGTTTCGTACGAGGGTAAATAAGAGTGGACTGGCTGGCTTGCTCGGCAACGACTTGGGCACAGGGGTGGGCCGACATTGCACACGAATGACACCGCTGCTCATTGATGCTTACCGGTATGTTGGATTGAGGGGAAGGGTAGAATCTAATTGATGCTCAACTGGAAACACAACTATACCCACTCATCATACATCTGCAACATGGTCTTTGTTTATTTTTGATTAGTTGGTTGACAGCTGCTAATACCTCACAGGCAGATTAGAGTAGGACTGTTGTAGACTACCATAGCCAGTTCTATCTAATGCTGCTGTAAGTGAACTAATCAAGGTACACTTAGACTATGTTGACAGTCTATTGTGAATGCTGTAGGCTGTCACTTGATCAGTAAAGTAGGGGACCTGCCGGACAGAACTATTTCTAGAAAATTAGGTGCTGGTCAGACACATGTTGTGGTAGGACTCCAGCAGGGAGTTCTAGTGCAGATAATGTTTGCCTAATTCATGAACGGGTCAGACATCGATGAGGAGGCAGTTGACGATGCAAGACTAACACGTTCGAGATCACGTAGGATCCCGTACGTGTACCAGGCCTTACAACCGGAAGACGAAAGACGGCTTCGTGCCGAACGCAGAGCCCGTGCACTAGCAGCAGCTAGGGAAACAACAAACGCCGCAGTTAGGGAACAGGCTGCAGCAGCAGCCAGGGCAGCAGCCATAGCTAGCTCAGCAGCATCCTCTGCTGCGTTGTCTAGGACCAATGGGACCCAGTTCGTTAGGTTCTCGGCAGTCTACAAGTCAAATGGCGGGCTCGCAGTTCAACTCGTTGACTCCTCGCGAAAGGGAGCTTCTAGAGCTCCAACAGGTCGAAAGGATCCGTGAACGATTAGAGAGGGAACTGAAACAGGCAACCGATAGAGAAAGAGAGAGATCAAAAATAGAACAGCCAGGCTTGAAACTTTAGAGGCAAACAAAGCTGAGTTAGAGGGTTTGGATGAGTCAGGACTGTCTGACTCAATGAAAACATTGAGGAACAATATGTTGTCGCTGCATGGGCACGTGGACAGCCGATTGGACTTTATGCAGACCACTCTAGACCAGATCCTGGACATTTTGCAAAGGCCAGGATACAGGCCACCAGCACAGTCACCGTTGCCATTAACGGCGATGTGAGGCCCCTTTCCAGTTCAAGCTGGCACACAACCAAGTGGCACATCTGCAGCAGTCTCACAGACTGTTGCTTCTTCTTCTTCGGGTCCAGCGGTGGGAGCTACACCACCGCAACAACCTGTTCCTCAACAGGGACAGCCGCAAGGTCAATGGTACCCTAAGACCCCAATGAAACCACCTTTTGCCTTCTTAGGCGAGAGGAAGGATGAAGAACTCAACACTTGGTTGAGAACAGTCTCGGTTTGGGTGAAGGCGAAGAGGACCTTGCCAGAGGACGAAGTGGTTACTGTTGCATCTTACCTCGAAGGTAAGGCAGCCAAATGGCTAGATGGTATAGTTGCAAAGGTCGGGCATGGGACGACGTATGGCGGACTGGGCTCAATCTATTACGTTAGACCAATTCTTCGAGACGGTGGAAGCTCGCTGGCACAATCCTCAGCAGGCACAAATTGCCACCGATGCGATAAATAGACTGGATCAAAGAAAGTTTAAGTCAGTCAGAGAGCTTACGACTACCATAGAGAGCCTCATCGTCGTTCCAGGCATCAACTATAGTGACCAGTTCCTGTTGACTACGTTCGTTAGATGTCTTTCAGAGAACCTCAGGAACTTGCTGGCCAGCCAGGCTCGCCTCGAGTACCATTCGTTTGAGACATTGTCTAGAAAAGCCTTAGACTTAGAGGCTACACTAGGAAATGCTCAACCCTCTCAGAATGATGCGAGGAAGAAGAAGAGTCCGCAGGAATGGAAGAAGAAGGGGGCGAAGTTGATGATGGTTGAGTCCGATGGGACTCGAACAGAGATCGATGACCTCACAGACCTGTTGGACGTTTCAGAGTACGACGGCGAGGAGACCGCTGAGGGTAGCACCCTTGCCGCAGTAGTCAAGGCTAAGGCTGGTGGCCGAGTGAAGGGCCAACCAAAGAGTCAAGGGAAGGCCGCCTTCAATCAGACCAAAGTGGCTGATTGGGTCAAGGCAGGTCTTGATCAAGACGTGTGGCGAGACCGCCGAGTGCGTGGTGCTTGTATCAACTGTGGTGAATACGGACACACCCAGTACAAGTGTCAGAACGCTAAGGTCACGCAGAAGATACCTCCTAAGATGGGGGCACCTTCTTCCCAAGCTTCTAGCTCAGGAAACCAATGAGGCTGGTGGAAGTTTTAGCTGCTTCTACTCAGGGTGAAGTGGGCATGATACCCTCCCCACTTCATGAGCAGGCCATAGCTAATGACTCTTCAGTCACCCCGCAGACTCATCTAGACCAAACTATGCTCTGTACGTTAGATGTGTCTGAAGCCTTAGAAAATCTTGAAAGTGAGTGGTCAAACAAGGACCCTCGCGATTCTTGGGTGGCGCTAAGGAAAGGTCCTAGAGGGGAACATTTTGTGGTAGAAGTCGATGTAGGAGGCGGCAAATGTGGTGCCGTCATAGACATAGGCTCCACGCGGAATTACATAAGTCGTGACTGTTTGGAAAGGCTGCACCTACAGGACCGGATACGACACCTTAGTAGACCTGTAGCATCTACTTTGGCCAACAAGGAGCGCATGATAGTCACAGACTATATCAAGGACGTAGTCTGTACCTTCTCCTATGGAGGAGGAAAACTTAATCATAAGATTTGTTTTTGGTTAGCGACGACTTACCATTCGACATGTTGTTAGGCATGTACTACCTTGAGGTTGCTAAGCCCCAGTTCGACTGGGATAAGGTGTTAAAGCATAAGTTGCCCGATGGCAGGACAGTCAGATTGACTAAGTTCAAAGCCAGTAGCATAATAGATACCTATGGCTGCTTGTGCGCATCAGCGTTCTATAATTATTACAAACAGAACCAAGAGAAAGGTATGTACCTAGTGTATGCCTCTGAGAAAGGGGAGGTCGTTAAAACACCCCCAGAGATAGAACACGTCGTTGCTAGGTTCCCTGATCTGTTCGAAGAGCCTACAGGGGTCGTAGAAAGGGAAGCTGTCCACGCTATAGAAATCATCCCAGGGAGTAAAACCCCAAAGGGTAGGATCTATAGGATGGCTCCCGCCGAGTTAGATGAACTCCGGCGACAACTGAAAGAGCTGACAGAGAAGGGATGGATCCGGCCTAGTACTTCCCCTTACGGATCGCCAGTACTATTTGTACCAAAGAAGGGGGGTACAYTGAGGATGTGCATTGACTATAGAGGCCTCAATGCCATCACYGTGAARAACGYAGAGCCTCTACCTCGCATAGACGACCTACTGGATAGGGTGCAGGGATGCAAGTACTATAGCAAGATAGACTTGAAATCCGGCTATCATCAGATCGCTATAAGACCCGAGGACCAACACAAGACAACTTTTCAGACTCGATATGGTTTGTATGAGTTTGTAGTGATGCCCTTTGGTCTTTGCAATGCGCCGGGAAGATTTCAGCACTCTATGAATCAGATCTTCCATTATCATTTAGATAAGTTTGTCGTGGTTTACCTTGACGACATTCTGATCTTTAGTAAGTCTGCCGAGGAGCATGCACAGCACGTTGAGACTGTACTTTCACTCCTGCGACAACACAAGTATAAGGTCAACCTAGAGAAGTGTGAGTTTGGTCGTACTAAGATACTATACTTGGGTCATGAAGTATCCGCGGAAGGGATTAGGCTGGAAGATGCGAAAGTGGCTAGTATTCGAGACTGGCCACGACCTCAGACTGTCACTGAGGTCAGATCTTTCTTAGGAATGTGCGGCTACTATAGGAACTTCGTAAAGAACTATTCTACAGTCGCCTCTCCTTTGACAGATCTAACTCGACTTGACACACCGTGGGACTGAAGTGATGAGTGCGAGGGTGCTTTCAAGCGATTGAAGCATGCACTCATGAATCATGAAGTTCTCATGGTTCCCGATCCTCAGAAGCCGTTCATAGTGACCACTGAYGCAAGCCAATACGGCATTGGCGCAGTGYTGGCTCAGCAGGATGGGAAGAAGTTGAGACCGATTGAGTACATGAGCAAGAAAATGCCATCGAAGAAATTGGCAAAGTCCACCTACGAAAGGGAACTCTATGCTCTCTAYAAGGCACTTGTCCATTGGAGACAYTTYCTRTTGGGACGGTTCTTCTACTTGAGAACTGACCATCAGACGCTCAAATGGATCAAGACTCAACCGGCTCTTTCCGATGCACTCAAGCGCTGGATTGAGGTCATAGATCAATATGACTTCAAGCTTGAGTATCTGAAGGGAGAGTACAACAAGGTTACGGATGCGCTATCCCGTAAAGCAGACTGCCTAGGTGCGCTAGTTTCTGACTTTGGTGTATCTGAAGAAGTAACTCAATCATTGGTGGGAGCCTATCAGGAAGACCCTGTCATGATGGACATCATACTCAAACTTCAGGCAAAAGACAAGGCCACGGAAAGTGAGTTTGTGATGGTGGACGGGCTACTCTATCTTGATAAGGCCGGTGTTAAGAGGCTAGTAGTTCCATCTAGTGAACGTTTGCGTAGTTTGTTTTTAGGAGAATGTCATGACGCAACCGGGCACTTTGGTTACAAAAAGACGAGTGCTAATCTAGTACAACGATTTTGGTGGCCTGGAATGTTAGATGACGCGAACAAGTATGTAGAGACCTGTCAGGTCTGTCAGCGGGACAAGCCGCGAACTCAAGCACCGCTTGGGTTGCTGAAGCCCTTACCTATCCCCGCTGGTCCAGGACAGAGTCTTTCCATGGATTTCATGGATACCCTGGTGACCAGCAAGAGTGGCAAGAGGCACATCTTCGTCATCATTGATCGATTCACCAAGTACGCTAGACTAGTTGCCATGCCAGAGACCGCAAGGACAAACCATGTCATCAAGTTGTTCCAGGACAACTGGGTGCGTGACTTTGGTTTACCAAAGACAATCGTTAGTGACAAAGATGTTTGTTTCATAAGTGAGCTGTGGAAGAAGACTGCTGAGCAGATGGGCAGTCAACTTCAGATGACTTCAGGGAATCATCCTGAAGCCAACGGACACGCCGAGCAAATGAATAGAGTTGTACAGCACTTGCTGAGGCATTACATCAAGCCCAGCCAGGATGATTGGGATGAGAAGTTGCCTCTCATCGGTAGCCTATACAACAACGCTATACACAGCAGTACCGACGTTAGTCCTAACCAGCTGCACTTGGGATGGAAGCCTAGATCTGCTCTAGACTTCCTCCTACCTGAAAACCGACCCGCTGCAACTCCAGGCACACTTGAATATGGTGTGCAGTATGAGAAGTTGYTGCAGCAAGCTGTCGAGCACATCAAGAAGGCTCAGCAAGCAATGATTGCTTCTGAGAACAAGCATCGACAACAGTCCTCATTTCAGGTAGGGGAACGTGTCTGGGTCAAGGCTAGTGAGCTAGGACAGGAATTCGATATCTCTAGAAAACTAATGCCTCAGTACTTTGGTCCTTGGGAAGTCCTGGATGTAGTGGGGGATGAGATGGATGGTCCTACCTATGTTATCCGTATCCCTGGACACCTACGCACTCACCCAGTCTTTCATGCCTCAAAGCTTGCACCTTTCGCTGAGACTGATCAATTCCCTTCAAGGAGATCGATGCTGCCCCCAACCATGGATGGCCAAGTGGACATCGACGACATTGTGGATCACAAGGACATGCCTGTTCCAAAGCCGCTAGGTCGAGGAAGACCTCCTAAACCCAAGACAGAGTACCGCGTCAGATTCGGGCATCATACGGATCCGAAGGAAGATCGGTGGTTCACCAGAGAGGAATTGATTGACACAGCTCCTCAAGTGGTGGCAGAATATGAAAGAAAGTTAAAAGGGAAGGCACATGCGAAGTAAGCATCTCAGCGGACTTTCGAAGCTAAGGGGGATGGAATGTGAGGATTGAGCCCTCAAGAAGGGGCCTTGCCATGATGTACATGTTCTGGGCTAAGGCCCCAGCAAGCCTCGTGCCCGCCCTAAGTGAAGGCGGGCCAGCAAATCAACAAGA